AGAAAAGACCCAGTCTCAAAACAGAACCAAAAACAAAACCAAAACCCTACCTACCTCACAGGATTTTTGTGAAGACAGGACTCTACAAAGCTTGAAGTGCTATGTAAATTTTGATTATTATTGTTTCCCTATCATCATCAAAAGAATGAGATTCAATTTCTCATCCATATTTAAAATAATCCATTTTATTATCTCCATAAAAGAAAGACCTTACTACCTACCATGTAGATGGCTTTAAAGTGATTCATTTGTCTGGGATCCTTTCCAATCTAATTGAGGAATCAGATTACTTCACAAGGAATTGTTCCACTTTGAGAAGAACCTTTAAGAGCATTCTTTCTCCTCTTTCCCCTCCTGCCACCCAAGTTTTATTTGTCCTGCTGAGGCCAAGCTAAACTTTTTTTCCCTTGTTAGGAACAGTAAGAATTTTTCCATACTCCTTTCCTTCCAGACCACAACAAGCCTCCTTCAGTGGATCTGGCTGACCTCAACTTTTCACCTTAATCCCTGTGGATTTCCCTCCAAATTTTCTCCAGAGAAAGTCGCTGGAGTGTGTATTTCAGGCACAGAAGAATGAAGGAAATATTCTTGTTGAATATTTTTCTGTTCCCGTTACCATTCTGCCTTCGGGAAGCTCCACCTTGCTTCAGGCATGTTTTCCTTGGGCAGGGATCTGGCTTGCAATCTTCCATCAGTGCTCTGGGGATGGAGGGATGGGAGTGGGGAATCTTAGTGGGAGGTAGCCTCAAGGAATGGGCAGTAATATCAAATGCTGCTTCCGTTCCTTATTTCTTCTCCTTTGTTGACTCTATTTGTGCACTCCTTTTTCACTCAAATATGTGCCCTTATCTCCCTTTCCACCCTCTAGTCAATCAACAAATATTTTAGTTATTAAGCTCTTTGTGCTATATGTGTAAGAGATGTATGTACACAGCTATATGTTTACTTTGGCTATACATTGACTATAAAGTAAAAGCACAGCCCCTGCCCTAAAGAAGCTGACATTCTAATAGGGGATACAAATGTAATCAAATACATACAAGCTATACACAGACTGATGGCCCTTCCATTCCTGCTCTGCACAAGCTTCACAATGACAAGTGTTGGGTTCAGCCCAACATAGCTGGAAACCTGCTTTTCCTCTCTGGAACCATTCCAAAGCCCTTTGGACAAGCCTGGATCCCCAAGGGGAGTTCTCTGGGCCTCCTGGCCCACATGATTCATAGTCTCAGGTGAAAAGTTCTGGTCTATTGCAACGGTAGAAAATCTTTATTAATCAAGCACAGCTTGAGGTTAATACTGATTTTACCTTGACACTCATTCTGTGCCAACTGAAGATTCCTCAGATATTTCAGAGACCAATATCACCTTTTAGATGAAAGAGTGCTGTGTTTTTCATCCAGAGTTAATAGTTTCTCTCTTTTTTCCACCAATTCTGACCTGTGATTTCATCAGTGCAAGGCACTCTTAGTGAGGAACTCCCTCTACCAGTGAAGGTTGGCACCTCCTCTTCAACTCAAACTCTTAAAGAGCTGCCTAAATAGGAGAATATTTATTTCATCGGAGACAAATTCTTCTCTCCTGGAAAAAGAAATACTGAATAAGAAACATCTTCATTACTTACATCTCCCTGACTCCTGTAGTTCCTAAATCATTCCTTGGGAATGAATTAGTTGCTTGGGGGAACATAACTCTTTCAGGGAATGGGTGATTTTTAGGCAATGTCTAAAATATGGTCCAATTTAAGTTACTAAAATCTGCCATAAAGATTATGAATTATGAAAAAGGAAATGTAGTGCTTAGGGGGCACCTTTGAACTTGCAGGGTAATTCCCTCAGAAATGATTCAAAGTACTTTATCTATACCCACTAAAAACTTATGAGCCCCTACAGATATATTTACCTTTAATAATCAGCCAGAAGACACAATTAGTTCAAAACAAAGACATTTAATAAAATGGTGTAGTAAAAAAAAAAGTAGCAGTTAAACATCTTCCCCATAAACCTGGGAGCACAATTGCTGAAAATATACAGATGTGGAAAATATACGCAACGGACTTATGTAGCATAGGGGCAATTTATGCCCTCAGTGCTGCTGGGGAGCTCATGTCTTCTAGGAATATCATTAAATGGCTCAAGTAGGGCCTGCTTTCTGATGGTTTCCACCAGAATCTACTCCACTGGACACTAACTGTCTGGATATCTATCCTCTACCAGGCACTTTTCTTCTGGACACTATTCAGTATCAACCCATTGAGCCTACTACAATATAGCACCTCTCTTATTCTAGTTTGGCTTCATGTGAAGTCATTGGCTATTATGATCCCTCTTCTTCATGAAACATGGACTCTGTCATTTTCCTTCAATTCAAAACTCAGAAGCTTTTCCATAGTTCTTTAAGAAGAAAGAAAGAAAGAAAGAGAAAGAAAGAAAGAAAGAAAGAAAGAAAGAAAGAAAGAAAGAAAGAAAGAAAGAAAGAAGAAACCTTCTTAACCATGAGACCAGCAATGGAGGTGAAATGGGCCAGGGAGGAGGGAGGAAGGGGAATCTCATCAGGCTTTTCCCTCTCCCTTTATAGAGTGACCTTTATAGAGTCTTGTTTGCTTCAAAATCTCATTAATCAGTACTTCCTTTTATGTCTCATCTACTTTAATCTTAAACTATTTAATACTTTTCATGTTCGTACTTCATCTGTTTGTCTTCTCTCACCAAATAGATTATATGTATGCTGAGGGACTCTCTCTCCCATATGTGTGTGTGTGTGTGTGTGTGTATGCAATAGCCATTCAATAAATATCTATTCAAATAGATCTGTCAACGCATCAATGTTGATGTTGCTTCTCAAGAAACAGATCACAACCCACCCATACCTGCTCCCACCTTGTGAAACTCTGAGTTGTCTCTTTTCTCCCACAAGTTTGCCACAGAGAGTCCACCCTATATGTTGGTGGTCATCCTCAACTTCTCTGAAATTGTGAGGTTCGCAGCTTTGCAATCAATAAGTAAATATCAACTTGATTTCTAATCAGTTCAATAAGTATTTCTTAAATACCTATGCTGTAACTTGGTGTTTTGTTGAGTGCCTTGGAAACAATAACCAAAAATGAAATGGCCTCTTCCCTTGAAGGAACCTCTATCCAACTGATTTGCAAGCTAGGCTATTAGACACATAAGGTCATGCCAAAAAAAAAAAAAGAACAAACTTACTATCATTCAACTCATTATGCTTCATTTTATGATTATTTCAGCAGTCTATAGTTTCAATGGAAGCTCTTCATCTTTCTTCCTCTTACCTTAATTTTGAAAATGTTGGACACTAAGCCTAGTCTGTCAAATTTCCATGTACTATAAAGTTTTGTTAAAAAACAAAAACAAAAAACAAAGAAATCTTAAGTTTGTCACCTTTATTGTCTTTTAAGAATTTATTACATTTTAGAGGCAGCTAGGTGGCACAGCAGATAGAGCTCCAGTCTTGGAGTCAGGAGGACCTGAGTTCAAATCTGGCCTCAGACACTTGACACTTACCAGCTGTGTGATCCTGGGCAAATCACTTAACCCCAACTGCCTTGCCAAAAAGCAAAAAAAAAAAAAAAAAGGAATTTATTACATTTTAATGATTACCACCTCTTCCCCAAAATAAATATGCAAAACAAGGGACAGAAGATGGGAATTTCTGTCAGTTTTTTCTCTCAACCATGAAAGTTAACTCTATCCAGACATCAGTTAAATTGCTTTTCCCAAAGATTCTATTCACTCCTAAAGATAAAGCAACAGTAATCATAGTCTCTGTGGGAAGGGCTATTAAAGATGGTATTGCACTTGTGTGTGTGTGTGTGTGTGTGTATGTGTGTGAGAAAGAAAGAGAGACAGAGACAGAGAGAGCAACAGAAAGAGACAGAGACAGACAGAGAGAAATAGACACACAGACATAGACATTGTTTTAAAATTACATCTCTCTGGAAAGGCAGCCTGTTACAGTGACTAGAGAGTTAGTCATAAGATGAGGAAGACCTGGTTTCAACCCAGACCTAGTACTAACACAGACTGAATCTTTGACTCTGGAGAAGTCACTTAAATTTACCCCAGGCAACAGTAAGACTGCAAATTGCCTAACAATTGATCTGTAGAGTGTATGGAGTTCTTTCCTTATTAGAAATCCTCTACCCTGATGAAATCACAGGCACACACACACATACACACACTATGTATATATGTATATGTGTGTATATATATATATGCATATACACACAAACACATATACATATTGGCTGTTGTCTTTTGTTCTCCAAGAGGACCAAAATGACAACATTATGTTGGGGTCAACGCACACAGTATATCCGACTGTGGCTGATCAGACCAATATAAGCTCAGAAGGCTCTGCCACTGGTCAGGCACAAATAGTCTGGATGAACATTGGCAGTGGAGGTGTCTCTAAACTTGCATATCTCATGTTTCTTTGAGCTACTGCAATTCTGCTTTGCTCACAGAACCTTCTTTGATTCAGGCAGGCCATACTAGACAGTCCTGTGCCAGTATCTCCTGTCTCACAATGGATTCCAAAGTTCTTCAGAGACCTTGAGAACATCTTTGTATTGCTTCTTCTGACCTCCTTATGAGTTCCTGCTTTGTGTGAGTTTTCTGTAAAATAGTCTTTTAGACAAACGTATGTTTGGCATTCAAACAATGGGCCAGCCCATGAGAGGAGCATTCTCTGCAGCAGAGTTTGAACGGTTGTCAGTTCAGCTCAAGAAAGAACCTCAGTGTCTGGTACCTTATCTTGCCAGGTGATCTTCAGAATCTTCCTAAGACAATTCAAATGGAAGTGAGTCAGTTTTCAGTATGGTTTCATAGTCATATAACAATGAGGTCAGCATAACAGCTCTGTAGACCTTCAGTTTGGTAGGCAGTCTAATACTTCTTCTCTCCCACACTTTCCTTTGGAGCCTCCCAAACACTGAGCTAGCTCTGGCAATGCATGCACCAACCTCATCATCTGTGCACATGCCTGGAAAGTATACTGTCAAGGTAAGTGACCTTATCCATAACATTCAAAATTTCTTCATTTGCTGTAACTGATGGCTCCACATATGGATGGTATGGCACTGGCTGGTGGAGAACTTGTGTTTAAATATGAAGCCAAAATTAGCACAAGCAGCAGAGAATCAATCCATACTCAGTGGAATACTACACACACCCCTGTATGTATATATACATACGTGTGTGTGTATATATGTATATATATGTGTGTGTATATATATATATATATATGTATATATGTGTATATATATACATATGTGGGTAGAGTGATACATTATCCAGATTTGAATCCTGCCTCTCTAATAGCAGTGTGATCATGGCAAAATCATAATTTCTCTGAACCTATAAAATGGGAATATTAGTACCTATATCATAGGACCCCTCAAAATCCTATATAAATACTTTGAAAACCTTCCCAATATAAATGTGAGCTGTTATTATTTAAAGCAACCACCCCAAAACATTTTTTTAAATAAAGCAACCATCCACCTAATGAGAGATAGCAGAGGGCAGAGGAGGCAGTATTTAGGTGTGGTTGAAAAGAATCCCTACAATACCTACCACAGACAAGGTATATCAGTGACTACCTAGGAGAAACTCCTCAGAATCTGGCTCATAGAATTAGAAGTGGAAAAGACTGCTGAGTCATCTATTCCAACCTCTTCATTTTACAGCTGAGGAAGTTGAGGCTCAAATTTAGGTGACTTTCCCAATATGACCCAGTAGGAAGCATCAGAATTAAGATTTGAATCTAAACCTTCCTGGCTTTGAGGCCAGTTCTGCATCCATTATGCCAACCTGCTTATTACCTGAACCCTTCTCTTTCCCACTTCTGCTGTCTAATCAGTACCAGGTCCTTTCAACTCCATCACTATGACATTTCTCCCATCGGTTAAGAGGGTGTCTCCTTTTACTCCCACAGCCATCATTCTCATACAGGCCCTTATGACCACCTACTTACACTTCGGAAATAGTGTATCAGGCTTCCCACTCTCTCCTCTCTCCTCCAAACCATATGTCATATCAATACCAGAATGATCTTATTTCTTTTTTTAATTTTCATGCATCTGGCCATGTCTATCCTCTGATCGAAGTTTTTCAGGATGTTCTAGGCCCTCCACAAGCTGGAGCCACCCAACTTTTCTAATTAGATTACATATTACAATCTTTCCCATATCCTGAATTTTAGCCAAATTTGAATTTCTCTCTCCTTTGTCAGCAATACTCCCTCATCTCTAGGCTTTTGTTCACATTGTTCTCTCTACCTGATAATGTCCCCCTCATCTCTTCACCCATTGAATTTAAAGCCACTTAATCTCTGTCTGCCTTAGTTTTCTTGACTGTAACAATGGGGATAATAACATTCAGGGTTGTTGTGAGAATCCAATGAGATAGTATTTGTGAAAGTGCTTAGCACAGTGCCTCACACAAAATGAGTACTTAATAAACCTTTATTTCCTTCCTTCATTCCTTTCTCCTTCCCGCCAGTGTCTCTCATACTGCTGTCCTCACTAAAGCTCTTAATAAAGTTTGTCATTCTATTCCAATGCTTCCTGATAAAGTGGTGAGCCTGGATTCTCAAAGGTTATGCCCAAGAGAATATAAGTTCTGACAGATGTGACCAAGCTGGAAAGGCATCAAGAGTATGGCCCTAGACGTGAGCTGTGGAGCTACGATTCAAGCATCGCTTTAGAAAAATTTCATCTAAGGTTGAAAAACGTTTTTTTTTTTAATCACAGCAACTGTCTACTATAGTACTAAGGTGTTTCTACACTTTTGGAGAGAATACTTATACCACACATTTTTAAAGTAAACAGTACGTACTAGGCAAGAGTTAAGTATAGGGTTTTTAGCTTTTTTTTTCATCATGAACCCCCTTGGGCAGTGTGGACGCCTGTTTTTGAATATATAAAATAAAATATATGATAAAACATAATTAAATAAAATATAATATAATTTATTATAAGAAAAAATATAAGATTCAATTATACTGATATATAGTTATCAAAATATTTTAAAATAACAAGTTCATAGACCCTGGAGAGGAATTCTTTTCTAAGGCTAAGTCATGTCTAAAATGACATCACTACATCAGGATCAAGGTACAGTGTTTCTAAAAGCACCTAGAAAAAAAGTATATTAACAAAGGAATATGCTAATAAGTTCATGTTTTTTACATATCACAAAAACCTGAAAATTCAGCTCAATTGCATAAACCCCATCATAGTACTATATAGGTGAAGATAAGCTAACTAATATTTAAGAAGCATATAAATGAAATGTCAATTAAAATGTGGTATCATAAGAAGGCATACAGAAAGGAGAAAGAAAAAGGTGAGGTGGGGCGGAAGAAATTAAGAATGGATGAAGTCAAATAAACACCAGCAGAAGAAAAATAATTACATAGCATATGATTGCAATAGAATGGGAAAGAAAGAAAAGTCATTAAGTATTTATTGATTGGCTACAAGGTATGTAGAAGAGGTGGCCAGGTTCCACAGTATAGAACAAAGTCAGTTTCTTCTCACAAAGCATTTATGATTTAAAAAGAAGAAAAGAAAGTATACAGCATCAAACCAAAGAATGACAGCCCTAGAAGGTTGTATTTATGTCGATTAGTTAGATTAGAGCAGAAGAGAGGGAAGAAAAAGAATGTTAACAGTTTTAGAAACACAAGATTGGAAAGCATTAAAGGCAGGAAAAGCGTTTAGTAAGTATGTATTCACACACGCAGTCTTCTGAATCATCAATGTTTGATACTGAATAGTGGAAACTGAATGACTCAACAAAAACTAATTTCCGAGGAAGTTGAAAAGATGCAATAAATGAGTTAATGTATATGAAAGTACTTTGGAGCCTTTGTAGTAAGGACATGGGTATAAATGGGCAGTATTATACAATATGGAATTTATAGATTCTGTTAGTAATATAGGCTTCAAATGTGCATTATTTTAAAACCTCCCTATATTCAGGAAAAGAAAAAAACTAGGTAAACATTAGAAGCCTTCTTAGTCATTATTACTTACCTTTGGCTTCTTCTCTTTCTTTAAAAGTACTGATAATGGCCCTCATCCTATCTCCTTTCGAGGAGGTTGTAAAAATGAATGAGTTAGTGTTTATAAGCTGTTTGAAACTCTGGAATAAAGCCAGCCATCTTATCATAAGCAGAAGGCTGCACTGTTAATACTTTCTCCCTCATTCAGAAAATGGTTTGTCTATAAACCAATGCACCTCTCCATCTTTCTTTTCAGATTTTTGGTTTCAGCTGAAAGCTGTCCACACAATCAAGCTGATGCCCAACAATAACATGCCAAGTTCCTGGCCATTTTCCAAGTGAAAATATTTTGGTAATAGCTTTTTTATTTTTTAATATCCCTTTCAAGGTTCACAAAGTGCTTTGCATATATTATCCCTTTTGATACCCATAACAATCCAGAGATAAGTACTGTTATATCCACCTTGTAGACGAGGAAACTGAAGTTCAGAAAAGTGAAGTGACTGGTAAACATGAGAAGTCACATTCAAATCCATACCTCTCATAACTCCCAAGTCTAGCACTCTTTGTTCCTTCATTACAACACAGTGCCTCTATTTACAAATTTGGGGGATATCCCTTCTTCATGAAAGCGAATTTAAACTGGTTATAAGCTTTCTGAGTCAGGTTAGAGTGATGGAATCTTACAGGAGCGACCTAATACATTCTGAAGATAGATGTTTGCATATACTGTTGAGTAATTTCATGGGTCCAGTTTGGGCTGTGTGAGCATATACATGGAAATTGGAACAAAAGAGATCCATGGAATCATGAGTAAAAAGTATCCATGTACAAGTCTGCGTACACTAAAAAAAAACTGGGAAATAGAACTAGAAAGAATTGGTGCCTTATGACCCATGGCATCATTTTCCTTCTAAGGAATTTCATTTGCTGGTAAATTCATTGTATTGGTATATTACAGGTAGCATATCCATTCAATGCAAATATAAAAAAAAACCCATGGCATAAAAATAGCTAGTATTTATATAGCACCTTAAGGTTTGCAAAGCACATTAAAAATATTATTTCATATTATTCTCACAACAGCTGTGGAAGGTGTCATTATTATCCCCACTTTACTAATGAGGAAACTGAGGCAGAGGTTAAGTGACTTGCCCAGGGTTACACAGCTAATAAGTGTCTAAGGCTGAATTTGAATTCAGAATTTTTTTTTGACTCTGGGTCCAAGCACTCCATCTCACTGTCTGTTTTTACATCATGGTTAAAATAAAAAATGGGGGCAGCTAGGTGGTGCAGTGGATAGAGCACCAGCCCTGAAGTCAGGAGGACCTGAGTTCAAATTTGGCCTCAGACAAGTAACACTTACTAGCTGTATGACCCTGGGCAAGTCACTTAATCCCATTGCCTAGTCCCTTCCCCCCAAAAAAGGGAGTCAGCAGTGGTGTCAAGTACAGTAAAGGGGTAAAGGAAGGTGAGTCCTAAGGGGGGGGGGAGAAACTATTGGATAAAATAAAAAATGTCTAAAAGACAGCGTGGCATAATGAATAGAGATCTGGCCTCAGAATAAAGTTCAAGATCCTCCTCTGACACACTTTGGCTGGGTGATGCACCACTTCCCCCCAAGTTACTTTTGGGAATTCTCTACATCCATGAAATCACAGGTCTAGGTAAAAACAAAAAGCCAAAACCACAGTATTTCGTCAGAAAAATAAGTATATAACCTCCTATCATTGTTTTCCATCATACAAGTTGGAAGACCTAGATTCTTCTAATTCCAGCACTGTTCCACCTGTCTGACTTTGGACAAGTTAATTCTCTTGGAGCTCGTTTCCTAATCTTTCTCCCTGTTATCTCCAATTCATCTTGCATATATCTGTTTTTGTACACAGTTGTTGGTATATTGCCTTCCCCATTAGACTGTGTGAGAGTCCAGCTGTTTTTTTTTTTAAGCTTATCTCGCACTGCCTGGCACACTGCTATTGTTATCATTTCAGCTGTATCCAACTCTTTGTGACTCCATTTGGGCTTTTCCTGGCAAAGATATTAAAGTGGTTTCCCATTTCCTTCTCCAGCTCATTTTACAGGTGAGGAAACTGAGGCAAACAGGGTTAAGTGACTTGCCTAGGGTCACATAGCTAGGAAGTATCCGAGGTCAGATTTGAACTCAGGTCCTCCTGACTCCAAGCCTGGCGATCTATCGATCGCACCACCCTAGCTGCCCATAGTAGGCACTTAAAAAATACTTGTTCTTGCTTGCTGTAAAATAAGGAAAGTCAACTAGATTATCTCCACTGTCCCTTCTAGTTCTAAAATTCTATTATTTCTATGTTATATACCTATTTTGGAATGAAATTTTCTATTATGATTAATCATTGGAGGCTAAGTGCTTTAGTAATAAACATTAACCTGTTTTACAATTGGGAAACTGAGGCACACAAAGCTGAGACAGCAAATCTAAGATGAGGAATCAAGGACAGAACTATGTAATAAAACTCCCTCCCTTATAGACAAGAGGCTCTTTCTGAGTATTGTGTTGAGCTCTTGTTGTCTATACAATACACAGCAGTGTGGAAAGGGCTGCTGGTCATGCTTTGAACTTTTCAGCCCCATTCATGCACACTGATAGAAATACCACCAACAGCATCTTTTGAATACAAAGGACAATTTTATAATTCATTTTAATATTATTGTAGCTACATATTGAAGACTTGCAAAATCCTTAGAAACATCTCTTTTCTGGTGGTGGGGGAGGGCAGTGTTCTTGTATTATGCCAGCTAATCTAGCAGGCATCATTAAATGTTTGATTTAATTTAAAATGCTTGATTATTAAGTGTTTAATTAAATTAAAACTTACTGTGTGTTAGATTTGGGAGTTGTAAAGTAAAAAAAAAATTAGCCCCCGTTCTCAAGTGTATTACCTCCTAATTGGGGAAATAACAGTTACATATATGAATGTATTACATGAAACATATAAAGCAAATACAAGATAAGCTTGAAGATGAAGGCACTAGCATCTGGCAGAAGGGAATGGGGGTGGGGGGAACCAGGAAAGGCATCATGCAAAAGGGGCACTTGAATTCAATCTTGAAGAAAACCAGAGATACCAAGCTGGCATTTATGTAATGCTTTAAGGTTTGCAAAACACTACCAAAAATAGCTCAAATTATCCTCACAGTAATACTGTGAGGTAGGTGCTATTATTATCTCCATTTTGCAGATGAGGAAACTGAGGTAGAGGTAAAAAATGACTTGCCCGGGGTTACATAGCTAGTAAATGTGTCTGAGGCTGGATTTGAACTCAAGCTTTCCTGCCTCTGGGTCTAGCACTCTTATCTACTATCTCATTTAGCTATTTCATAATTCCAAAATTCCAGTGAAAAAGCACAGCAAGATGAGGAAAGCCCATAGGAGGAGCAGCTCATCTCTGGCCATCTCAGCTCTACCTCATGCTACTCTGCTCACAGTATCCACACCAGTCAAAATGTATTACCTGATGCCTCCTAAAGATGTCTCACTTCTTTCAGTCTCTGTACTTTTGCTCACTCTGTCTCTTCCACCTGAAGTGTCTTATTGACCCTACCCACTGACCCTTTGAATGCTACAGGTGGAAAAGAAACCGTCTTGGCCCAAGACCCTTATTATGTGGATGAGGAAAGTAGAGCCAGAATGATGAGTACTTACCCAAGATCAGAGACCAGGTTAGCCTTCAAGGCCCCAGGAAAATGTCACTTCCTCCATGGGAACCTCCCTTGACTGTACCCAGCTGAGGCCCTGAAGAAAGCATCAAGTCATTGGAAGATAACTTGTATATGATTGAGGAACATATCTTTTGGAAGGTACTCCTGTATTATGGTGTAAGAATAATTTCTTTTTCATCTAATCTCCTAGCATTTTATCCTTCTCTCATATACTTCAAATTTGTACTACATTTATTCAGTGTATGTTATATCTCTTCCTACATGATGGAAGTCAGGGATGTCTTTCTTTCTTCTTTCATTTTGCTTTTTTTTTTTTTGGTGAGGTGATTGGGTTTAAGTGACTTGCCCAGGGTCACACAACTATTCAAGTGTTAAGTGTCTGAGGCTGGATTTAAACTCAGGTCCTCCTGACTCCAAGGCCAGATCTTTGTTCACTGTGCCACCTAGCTGCCCCCTTTTTTTGATACAGTAAACTGTCAGTGACAAAAACTTCCTTTAACAATGCCAGTTGGCACCTTGTCTGCAATTTATGATGCATGCAATCATCTTTAATTGGTGGTAACATGTAGTCTTGGATAGAGTACTGTGTGTGGAGTCAGAAAGACCTAAATTCAAATCCCTCCTCAGACATTTATGACCTGTGTAACTCTGAGTAAGTCACCTAACCTTTCTCAGCCGCAGTTTCCTTAATTATAAAAAATGGGGACAATAATAGCATCTACTTTATACAATTGTTGTGAGGAAAACCATATATGTACATATAAAAATATTATAATATATGCAATATATTATAGAGAACATATAGTATATAATACACTATTATAGATATCACATATATGTGCAACATGTTATAGATAAAATAATATATGCAATATATGATTATAGACAACCGATTATATGTACAAGATATTACATTCAGCATATAATAAATATTGTGCTTTGCAAGCAACTAAGATCTATATAAGTGGAGCTCAACATTAGCCAATTATTATAGTCTTAGAGAGTTTTTAGAGAAGGAAGAAAACAAACATTTATCAAGCAACTACCACGTGCCCTAAGCATTCACAAATATGATCTCATTTGATCCTGACAACAAGCCTGGGAAGTAAGTGTTATTATAATCCTCATTTTACAAATGAAGAAACTAAGGGAGATGAGATTCAGTGACTTGTCCAGGATCACACATAGCCAGTGCATGATAGGCAGGATTTGAAAACAAGTCTTCCTGTCTCTAAGGCCCACCATCTACCTGCCTCTTAGTTCATATCTTTGCATCCTCCCTGCCCCCCGCCCCACCTCCCAAGCACAGAGCATTACATATAGTATGCATTAACAAATAGCTTTAATGTGGCATAGTAGACCTGGGTTCTGTTGCTTTCCACCTGGGTGACCTCCCTGGAGGTCATCTTCTTTCATCACCTATAAAATGAGGGCTCTGGACTAGGGGAGATCCCTTCCTCCACCTCTAGATCAATGATCCCATTTGGTACTAATGGGAACATACACCTATGAACCTGGTCCTAGTTCATTTGTAAAAGCATTTAGCTTGTAGTCCCATTAACTCTGACCACCACTTAGCAAGTGAGCTTACTTTACTATTGCCTTCTGGGCAAAATGCCTTGGATTAAAAACAACCGTGAATATTAGCTGCTCTTTGAAAAGAACAATTGTATGGGGGGGGGGGGCTGACCAATGAATTGTTGCACATTCTTCTGTATTTATATGTTTCTGTAGAATTAAGCAAGTGGGTTTGACACAATAATACTGAGACCTTACACACTTAAACTAGATTTTTTTTTTGGGTGGGGGGAATGCAGAGGATGGAATTCCGGAGTTCTGCCAGTTTTCTGTCTGCTACCCTTACATGCATGTTGCATTATGAATAAGAATTACTTCTGGACACTATGAATCAAACACAAATAGGCAAGCCAGCGCCACTTGTCAATATATCATTATTCTCTATTGGTTATGTATACATGCCAAATGTAGAACTATAGCTCATAGTAAACACAATCTTTGGGGTCAGTTTTAAGTAAAAATTACTTTTTCAGATTCCTAGACTAATTAGTGTTTGCCTGAAACCTATCTAATTAGTCATTCTAATAAAAATGCTCCTACCTCTGAAACTACCCTATGTGTAGAAACAGGTAACTTCTTTTTAAAGCCTATAAGCCTTGATATTTTTTTTTCTGAAGTAACACAACTTCCAATAATAGTGTTACTGCTGAGTGCCTGAGAAGCCCAGGCTGGCGGGCCACACACACACACACACACACACACACACACACACACACACACACTGCAATGGAAAAAGTTGTTGGGGCTCCTTTCCTTCAGCTAGAAGAGTCAGCCTAACACTGTTTTGGATTGTTTATTTTGGTTACCGGTTTCTCTTTCTAAACAAAAACCACATTAGTCCGGACGAATGATGAAGTTGTTAGTCATAAAAAGAGTAATAATAAACTGATCCTCGTTAAAACAGAGAGCTGTGAACTGGAGTTCACGCCTGCGGACGGCTGACACACCTCTAGGGAACTGTAAAGGTGGCTCGGTCCTAACTAGGGGCGACCGTGACAGCCCCACCAGCCCCCGCCGTGCGTGGGCTGGGAACCTTTCCGGGCTCTCCAGGCCAGCTCAACCCCTCCTGATCTCCGCGACGGGAACACCCTTTAAATAAACACGCCTGCCCCTGCCTCGTGGTGCCCAAGAGCGTGTGAACACTCCCTCCGCTGTCATTTCCTGCAGCAGGCCCCGGCTGGGGCGAACGCGGGGCGGACCAGGGCGCGGGCCGGGGGTTCCCTCTCAGGCCCCACCCGAGGCACTCGGCCGGCAGTGGCGCTGGCAGAACTTTCCCGGAGCCGCTTCGTGCAGCTGCGCGGTCCCCGGGACGCCGAGCCAGAAGGAGGCCAAACCCCCACGCCGGAGAAGGGGCGGGTCAGGTGGGCGCTTCTTGAGAAGTCTCACCGGTTTTTCAGGCTCAGCCCAGAGCCGGAATAGCCACAGCGGCCGCCGCTTCAGCGGGTGAGTCAGGGCTTGGAAACAGTGGGCGGGGGGAGAGCAGGAGAATGAATGATGTCAGGCGCGGCGGGGCGCGGGGCGCAGGGCGCACAGCGCAGGGCGCAGACCGGAGGACAAGCGGGGGCGCCGGGGCTTGGCTCGGCGGGGAGGAGGGCGGCGGAGCAGCTCCAGCCGTGCCCAGCCCAGCCCGGCCCAGCCCGGCCCCGGAGCCGCTAGCGCGCGCCGCTGCCGCAGTACCCAGGTGCAGCGGGCGGGCGGCGGCCGAGGGGCGGGCTGGCCCCGGAGCTTCCAGCCCCGGTCACGGTCACGGTCGCGGGCGGGCTTGTGGAACGCCGAGCACCTGGGAAGGTGCCCGGGGGCGGGGGGAAGACTCGGGAAGAAACTTTCCAGCGGATTCTCTTCCCCCCCGGGGAGCTGCTGCAGAGCACCCGGACCTGGCCGCGCTGGGGTCTGTGTGGCTGCGGCTGCGGCTGCTGCGCTCCGACAGGCAAGTGCCTTTAGCCAGGAGCCTCCGGGGCCACGGTTAATAGAGGGTAAGAGGAGGCGACGGGAGGGGCGGGTGGGCGGCAGACCCGGGGGAGAATCGGCTGAAGTTTGCCTTCTGCGGAAAGAGAAGACGGAAGGGGGGAGCTGAGAGCTGAGTTTTATTTTCTGCCCCCCTGCCCTTGGCATCCCTACTTTTCTTGGGGGGGGGGAGGAAGGGTCCTGGGCTTTTTATTTTTATCACGTTATTCATTACTGGATGGATTACAGTTCCTTCATTTGCGACCATTTTAGGTCAGTTGTGAGAATGCTCACTCCCATTTTACTGAAAGCATAGATTAAACCACAGCTTTCCCAAGGCCACCTGAGAGGTTAGTGGCAGAAATTAGATTTTTATAGGAAGTACCTTGGCTGTTCCTCCCCCAACCCCCGCCCCTTTTTGAGAGGCAACTGGTTAATAAAATAACAGCACAGCTCTAGAAATGCCAACCCAGAACCGTCCTCAAGCTTTGGCATTCCAGAGAGTCGCCTGTTTGTTAGGTAAAGGGGAGACTTGACTTTTTACCTTCAGTTTTTGGAAATGTGGCTGTGGACTTGTGCCAGCCTGTATAGGAGCTCTGTGTGTCCCTCAAGGGCTAGCAGGAAATAAATAGCTTTTGAGAAGCCGCAGTTACTGCTTAAAATAATCCACTATTGTGTTTCACCTGTTAACTATATCCTGTGATCTTTCAGTTTTGAGAGGCTAGCTCAATGACGAAGCCCCGTTGCTTGCTGCAGGGCCTGCCTCTTACAATGGGACCTGAAAATAATTCTAACAGGTCGTTATTGCGCCTTTTCGCCTCTTTAAAAAAGTTAATATCTTCGTGAAGAACTGTTTCTTTTCTAAAACTCCAAGAGGGCTTAAGTGATGGCAGTGTAGACTCAGGTTTCCCTCTTCCTATTACAGCTGTTGATGGAATTGAACTTGGAAGAATCCCTGTGTTAGGATACATCTCAAGGTGCTTTCTCAAAACTTCAACCGAAGTGGTTTTTAAAGTGAGTGGTGAGTTGTTCAACTCATTTCGGTTGCAGATCCTCTAAAATGCTGGCCCTGCCAGAAATATTTTGTTTAAATAAGGATTCGTTTTCTCGAAAGTGAATAATCTGATATTTGGGGAAGAAATGAAATGTTTTAGATAAGTGGCAGCTTCAGCTCCCCTTTCCACAGGTCCTTTTTCTAATAGGCAGTGCTAAAAGTTTCCTATTGGAGTGGTACCCTTGGTTTGCTGATAACTGTTTCTTTGCCACAGTGTTGGTATTGAATGCTTAACAATAGGATAGAGTTTGCTTTTTCTCGTTTCACTTAATAGGTTGACACATACAAACCTGAGGGAGGGGGAGGGTCTCTATACTAAGAATATGCCGTTTTTCTCTGCTCTTTCTTTAGCACATATCCAAAACTCTAAAGGGAGTTTTTTTTTCCAACTGATCGTCTAACATTTGCTCACACTACATCTATAGGTTTTTTTTTAGCTCAGGCTTTTAGTGAAAAGGTTGTGGAAAACTTAAACAAAACAAAGTTTTACTGTAATAGAAGATTAGCCAACAAAACTTGGATTATTTTGAGTACAGTTTCATATATGAAGCTGGAAGCTACTTTAGAGATCATTTAGACCCATTTTTCATTTTACAGGTGAGGGAATTGATGCCAAAGAGCTACTGAATGAAAGGCGAACTTGAACCCACATCCTAACTCTAAACATACTACCTTCCCTCTCTTCCTCTTCCCTTGTCTAATTAGATTAAAATGTAATTGGGAAATATTTAACAAAATAAATAAAAACTCAATAAAACATATCACATTTTAGAAATAAGTCAATATACAGCTTGCAGGGATCTATATATGTGGATTTGTGGCCCGGTTTCCATCGGAGTTTGACACCACTGCCCTAGGCTCACAAAGCAGAAAAGGTACCCACTTGTATTGGTAAAGGAAGTCTTTCCACCTGGCAGCTCCTCTATAGCAATCAAATCACAGGTCTGGCCTCCATCCCTGCCTCTTAACTCATCCCCATTCACAACTCTGATAAGTTTTAAGGGGCTGGAGTCATGGTTTTCCCATCATATCTGAGCAGTGATTTTCACTTTCTGTTCTAAACTGCGCAATGTGTTAGAGTAGGCATCTGACTCAATTTCGTAAGGTAAGTCATCAAATGAAAACTTATTGTTCATCATTTTTGTCACTAGTCAAAAACTTCTCTAGAGAATAAGCACCAGGAGCACTGCTGATTCTAATCTTCCATTAGTCTTCCATCTAGTCTTCCATTGATCTGAGTTGCTGAAATATGAAAATATTGCTGGACCTTCTTTTAATCAATCAAGTATTTATTAACTCAGTTTCATAGCACCTATTCAGTTCTAGGCACTGTGGCTAAGCACTGAGGACACAAAGATAGTAACTACCCCTCAAGTAGCTTACTTTCTGTGGGGCCAAATCAGAAGGCGGTTACATATCTGGGTAATATACAAAACAAAACCAGCTTATCTTATGAATCATTACTTGTAAACAATTTGTAGTATGTCCTCTTAAGTTAAAGTTTATAGTAAATACAATAAAAGCTTACAATAAAAAACAAGGCCATGTTTTAAATAGCTTAAAAAATTGAAGCATACATAGAAAAATAGAAATAATAAATAGAATAAATAAAAAAATTAACCTTTTTTATCTTTTATTTAATGAATATATTTTGAGTACTGACTATATGGAAGACAGTGTGCTAGGTATTCTGAAGGATATAGAGATGAATAAGATAGTTTCTTTGTCATTCATCAGTGAGTTTACAGTCTAGCAAGGAAGTGAAAATCGAGATGGATAAGCATTACTGGGTAGAATGGAATGTGAGAAGTCCAAAGTTCTATGGGAGTTCAGAGGAGAGATGTATCCATTTTGATGAAGGGAATTCATGAAGTCTTTGTGAAAGAGATAGTTTTGTAAAATGAACCTTGTAAGATGGGAAAGAATTGGACTGAAGGTAGAGGGTGATAAAGAGAGAAAGGCATTTCAGGTGGGAGGAACAGTATGAAAAAAACCATGGAGGTTGGAAGTTGGGAACACAGGATGATGCGTTTGAATAATGATGAGCACTTTGGCCTGGTCATGGGATTGTAGAATGGTTAGTGTTGGAATGAAGTGTAGAAATCTGGTGTGTTAGCTTTCAAACTTTTGGGGCTTTGGGCCCCTTTATGCATGTAACAACATTTATTGAGGACCCCTACCCAGAGCTTTGGTTTATGTGGGTGATGATGACTTTAGTATTATTGTGAAAATGGTTTCAACATCATGGATCCCTTGAAAGGTGATATCCACAGCTGGAGAACCACTGATCTTGTCTAGTACTCTCTTTAGATTGAGGCTTAGATAGAAAGTAACTTGCTCAGAGAGGGCCAAGAGAGCACTGGTCTTCTGACTTCCAATCTGGTGATGTTTCTGTTCTAGGAAGGGCTACAGAGTGAAATGGTGGAAGATCAGGCTAAAAAGATTGGTTAATGTCAAATTATAGAGGGCCTCAAATGCTGGGCTTAGAGGATTGGCATTTATTCAAAAGATCTTGGGGATTCATTGAAAACTTTGATCATAAGGACCGGTACATTCGGAAGAAGACCTCTTTGTTGGTTACAGCTTATGCATGAGTAGGCTAGGCTAGGGCTCATTACTGATGATTCATACCAGAGCAAAGGAACAGTAGTCAACGGTTAGCAGTGAATAGGCTATTTGCTATAGCGGATAACAGTAGGAGTTTTCAAGATAAGCCACAAAAGACATCGATTTCATTCCAGAACTCTAGTCTCTTTCCATAGGTATTAGCACAGCTACAAGCCAGAATTGTGCAATGTTTGCCTGCTTGCTGTTGTACATTAGTTGTACATTAAAAGCAAGTTGGAGGGCAGCTAGGTGGTGCAGTGGATAGAGCACCAGCCCTGAAGTCAGGAGGACCTGAGTTCAAAGCCCGCCTCAGACCAAACGCTTGACATGTACTAGCTGTGTGATCCTGGGCAAGTCACTTAACCCCAATTGCATAGCAAAAAAAAAAAAGCAAGTTGGCCTCTGATGAAAGGCTTTGAGTAAGGGTAAGAAAGAAAATTGAGATTTAAATACAAAGTAGATGAATATGGCATCACTTTTCAGACTTGCTGGGATCAAATATGGCAAAGAGTTGTACCTTGTACAGAAGAAATAGACATGATTACCCCAAATGGGAATGAAGGATATAATTCTGTACTTATATTACCAGAAGAACAGATTTCAGAGAGCTCACATAAAAGTGGGGGGAAAGTACTTCATATTCTATGGAAAAAATTAGTCTTATCCTTGAGTGGTAATGTGAGGAGAAATGGAGAGAAAAGGAGATCCAGTCTTGTGTACTGGAAACAGTCTACCAGTTAGGGAATATTTTGGATTTCTTCCTTCTCTGCTAATGTAAATACCCAGGGAGGTTTAAACCTATTGTATTGTTCATCTCCTGCCTTGGGTTATTTTAGATGCCCAGCATCTTCATGCTTTAATGGATCTGTGATTTCAGTGATACAAGGACCACTTCACTGCAAACTGTAACCTACACAAGCTTTCCCATTCTGTACAATTTTTTGTTTGTGTTCTCTCAAAGATCCTTCTTAGAGGCTTTGCTCTTCATGGACCCATCAAGTAGCTGTCAGTGGCTAAGTTTGCATTATTACACCTTGTGTACTTAAAATTATCCCAATTTAGGGAAGCCAGAAAGAGAAAATTGTATACATTGCCTTCCCAACACAAATGCACTTGAATTCAGAGCATATTTAGGAATCTACCAAACTCACTAGAATGGGTACCAATGCAGCACTCAAAACAGTTCATCTGTTTATTATCTCCTTCTTTTATTGGTCATGTATAAACATTTTCTGGTCATACATTTCCTTAATAGCCCCAGCACCATTTTTATGTGTAGGGCATCTTCAGAAATGTCTTACAACCTACTGGTGGCCATCATGGGTTTTTCCACTATTATTTGGGCCATTCCAACTTTGGTTTTTAGGAGATTGTGGTGTTGCCATGTACAATGTCTAGCTCAAATAAGAGAGAATGGAACTTTGAATTGAATTTTGCACATGAGAGTGGAATCAAAGAGAGTATTTTTAGACCAATAGGAACTTATGAAAGGGCAGGCCAAAGTGGGTTTACTTTGGACTTCTTCCTGTACAATGAATATATGTGACAAGGGAATGGCTGTTCCCAATAACGGATTATGAAACCTGGTCCTTGGTTTCCCCATGGTTTTAGGATTAGAACTGAGACCAAATAATTGAACTTTCTTTCTCTCCTCTTCCCAAAATCTTACATTGTTGCCTTCTCTACTCACTAGATTCATGGAGAGATGATGATAATGATTACTTTTCTGGTGTTCTGACCTATCACACCTTGATTCAGAGTTATATAGTTTTTCACTTGCATTAATTCAGTAAAACTATACCAGAAGATGGAGAGAAGCAAGCTTGGGCCAAGGCTAGTTTATTGTTTTTCATCTATTTGTGTACAATTACACATAGTCTACATGCTAAGCTTTGAAAAAATGAATTTTTAAATCTTAGTGTAAAGAATAGATATTGTGGTTGTTTTTAAAATCTCCAGTGGTTACATTTCTTACCCATCTGGGGTGTGTGGGTGTGAGTGTGTATATACATACATATATATATATATATATATATATATATATATATTCATATTCCAAAGGCTTAGTTAGCATAAAGCTAGTTTTCAGGTGGTTTGGGTGTATACTGCATCTACATACAAGGGCATATATACATATATGCTTAAGGGCTCAGCTGTCATTCCTGTAAGCCTTTAAAAGATACTGCTAACATAGGGTCTACTGAATTCCTGGTAGGCACTGGGTTAATATAACACAAACGCTACTGTCCCTACAGATTAGTCTTCTGGGAGAATTATTGTACCATGGACACTACTGTCTCAGAAAATGCTGGGAGACTTCAGGAACTAAAACAGAAACTGAGAAGGGTTATGTAACACAA